CAAGGGAGACGCCAACTAGACCCCCTCTTCCCGCCGCTTGCGGATTTCGGGGAGGAGATAGATTCCAGGAAAAGAGGGCGGAGAGGCTCCCAATCAGGGTAGCCAGGCGCTGTACAGACACCATGACCCGGAGGCGGCTGGGACTTTCTCTGTAAGTGGAAAGCTTTTATTTTGTGTTCAGGCTGGAGCAGCAACCTCTGATGGAAGCCAGGCGGCAGGACTGGGGGGGAGATCGCCTGGATTTGTTTTCCCTCTCAACTGCCTGTTTCCGAGTCCCTCCCTGGGAAAAAGTGCTGCCCACCCAAGGAGGCAACCGAATCTCCTGCTCTCTGTCTCTCTCTCTCACGCACCGCGTGAGTGTCTCGCTCGCTCATTGAACTCAGTGCTTGTGTTTTCAGATTGCTGGGACCTGAAATCTAAGCGAAATCTCAGCCTTCGCATAAGCCTAGTGCTGCTGCAGCTGCCGAAGAGCAGAGAGAGGGGCTTCTTGGAATCCAATGGATCTGAAATCAGAGTCTATGCACCGCCGTTGTTTTGGAATATCTATATGCTGATCCTCTGTGGGGTGGCAAACCAGCTCATTTGGGTGAACCATCGGAGGAGAACAAGATGTTTCTTACTACCTTGTACTTCGTTTTACCCTTAATGAGTAAGTTGTCGGCGTTTAAATTCTCACTCTTTATAGTGCTACATAGAGCAGGACGTTGTATTTGTGGGATGCGATGTGTGATGATCGCTAATTTGTTGTTTCAAGTGAACGGGGAAGTTGTCAGTAGTTTTGACAGATTTGAATTAGCGCAGACCACAATTACAACTCTGTGATATTTGTGTATTGCCTGGAGAGCCCGTTGTTAAAATTGGAGTCTAGTGAGAGGAAAAGTTTTCAATAATCGCTTTTAATCTTAACAACAATGTGGGTCGGGGGGAAGAGGGTTGACCGTCAGTAAGAAGAATGATTGATTGCATCGCTTACCTGAACGTGGCTCCCTGCTTGGCTGCAAATATTGTAACAATACACATTTACTGTGTGTGTGTTTTGAGGAAGGGAAGGTTTTTATTTGGGTTGGAGAGGAGAATGGGGGCTCATATCGTTCGGTTTTTCCTTCTGCAAAAATCATCTTAGGTGTAAAGAAATATAGAAACACTGGGGGGACATAATAAACAGCCTTTGAAAAAGAGACTGAAATAAAATGAGTATCAGTCAGCGTGGAGACTTCTCAGCTGTGGGGATACTCATGAATGTAATTGAAATCACAGCAAAACCCTTATGGAAAGCAAGGGCGGATATTTAACCCATCGGTGGAACATAGGAAGAGCTATTAATTAAATTAAGGCTGATGTAAGGAACAGTGATTATTTTACCGCGCACATTAACTCTCTTTGCTGTGGAGTTCCCGCAAAGAGAAGTTAAGGTTAGCCATCTCCTTGAAATCTCATTTATCTTCGCCAACGTTTAAGTACAAGCCAGTGACTTTGGCACAGGCAGCTGGAGAGATAGCTAGAGGCTGCTTTGGGAAAGGGATGCGTTCGTTGTGTAGGAGGTGGGTTGCTTTCTCCGTGCTTAGCTGGCTTTGCGCCCAGTGTCTCAAAAAGAGTTTTTGTTGGTTTGTTCCTTTCTCTCTAGATGTACTTTTGTCCGCAGAAGTGAGCGGGCTGCCAGGAGGAGACCGCCTTGACTGTGTTCGAGCCAGCGATCAGTGTCTGAAGGAGCAGAGCTGTAGTACTAAATACAGGACACTGAGGCAGTGTGTAGCCGGCAAAGAGAGCAACTTTAGCCGGGCGACAGGCCTGGAGGCGAAAGACGAGTGTAAAAGCGCCATGGAGGCGCTGAAGCAGAAATCCCTTTACAACTGCCGCTGCAAGAGGGGCATGAAAAAGGAGAAAAACTGCCTGCGCATTTACTGGAGCATGTACCAAAGCTTACAGGGTACGTTGCGAAACCCAGAAACATACCGGTCCCCGAACGCAGTGTGGGTTCTCAGCCCCTCGCAGCAGCAGCTAGCTCCCACCGGGGAGACTAGACGGAGGGTCTGACCTCATAACTCACATTGTGCTCTTCAGCTGCAAACTGAGGATCTTTCATCCGACTCAGCAACAGCTGCTGCTGCAGTCTTCCATTGTTGGGCAATCCACAATAAGGGAGGACCCGGTTGACCTTTCTAAACCAGAGTCAAAAGATTAGGGCATTAGCAAGTGCAAAAGCGCCAGAAACAATAATTTGTGACTTTGCCCTAACTAAGGAGTTTAAACACTTGTTAATTAGCTCTCATTTCACAGAGGCACGGTGGGAAACTAATTAGTTCCTGGGTGTAAGATGAAAGAGTTTATATTTTTTAAAGCCCTGTTTTCCTTTTTTTGTATTTACCAAGAGTACCCCTCTAGGATACAGCTCTCTGAAAGAGGATTTGATGCTTTTGCATAGCATGCACAGGAGAAAGTTGGAAACGGCATGCCAGTGTTAAATGATAGGGCTGACTTTATACCCGTTAAAGTCCTTGTGATGTCTCCCCCTGAGTCTACTGGGAACAGAATTAGGTCCATAGTCAATATTGATATGCATCACCCACTGGGATTTTTGTGTTGCTGATGGACCTCAAATGCCTGCTGAATTCTGTGGAAGTTTCATCCTGCATTTCTTGTGGGCCAAGTTTGTTTCAAATATCCATTCTGAAATGTGCTTCCAGCATTATATAGCTCCACAGAAGCCATACATTATGTATTCAATAGCCAATGAAAATGTCAGTTAGAATATTTTAATGGATGAATGTCTCTTTGCTACAACTTTCATAATAAAGTACACTATTCTTACTGAACATTTCCTACATTCTTAATCAGTTTTTTTCCCAAATATTTTTGTTAAAAACTTCCATAAAAGCAGCTGTCAGTAACAAACTTCCTTTCTCCCTCTGGCACCTCAAGATGGGCAGTTCTTGTGATGTCACAGATGGCCTCCTCTGATTTGTGACTTCATTCCTCATTGGAGGAGTGGAGAGGAGGGAGTTACTGGCAAGAAACACTTCTTTCTTTCAAGTGTATTCATTGTCTGGCTTGGGAAGAGAAAATAGCATAAACAGATAACTGGGAGGTACCTTGTAACCCTATAGCTTTCTTTTTAACCCAATCTTGTTTTTAAAATAAAAATGTCATCATATGAAGTAACAAAGCTTCATCCCTGAAATAATGTGTAAAAGAATCCCAAATCTTTTGTTGTCCTTAGGAAATGACTTGCTTGAAGATTCCCCCTATGAACCAGTTAACAGCAGATTATCAGACATATTTAGGCTAGCACCAATCGTATCAGGTAAGCAGATTTAACATTCTTTAACTGAGACATGACTACAAGTTACTTTTGTCAAGTTTGGTCTGCAAATTTTCTTGGTTTATGAAGTAATCCTCTTCTGTAACCACAGAGCAATGTGATTGCTTTCTGGATCTGGGAAAGTCAATATATGGTTGTAACTTCAAAGTATTTGGAAGAATACTAAAATTGAAGAGGGTAATTTCCCCTACTCCTTGCTTTATCACTTGTCTTCAGAAATTGACTAATTTACCTGTAGGTGGCAATCTGATTCCCTGTGTTTGTAATTTATAATACAATGCCTTGTTGGAAATGTGGCTATGTAAGTTACCTCCCATTGACATTAAGGGAGTTGAGAAGATAATCTCTGAAATGTTTGCTGATGGGAATGTCTTATTATTTTTATACTCGTTTGTGCTTAAAGAAGAAGTCTCTCTCTCTCTCTCTCTTGCTCCTTTTGTTTTTTTTTTTCTGTTGAACTAACTGGATGAGTCTTTCGTAGTAGCTGTGCTTGGGGAAAATCTCTATGTACTTGATCATTTCCTTGTACCAATCAGACTGTACTGTTTGTTTTCAGATTTAAATGAATTTGGTTCCAAACTGATATGATTTAGTGGAACAGTGGATTTGAGAAAGTGGGAGATGTTACAGGGATAGGGATTTCTTTCTGTCTGTTGCTGGCATCTAAAAAAGTTCTGTATGGATGCAGTGTGTATAAAATACAGGTTGAACCTCTCTAGTCTGGCACTCTCAGGAACTGACTGATAGCACACCAGAGAATTTTCTGAATCACGGGAGGTCAGTATTATCTAGAAGCATTGCCAACACTTCCACTGCTTAGAAGACACGTAGAGGTAAATTAGAGCTGAATAACAGTACAGAAAATTGAGAGCCAGGACTGGTGGCTGTAAACAAACTTTATGGGATCATGGGAAACTTGGTCACATTCATGATAAGTGGTCACCTCGCTAACTAAAATCATGCCAGACCATAGGTGTTGCTGGACCAGAGAGTCATGAACTAGAGAGGTTCAACCTGTACCTTCAATTCTATAGCGATACTACATTCAATGAGCTGACATATTATTTTATACAATGTAAACAGTCAATCTTGCTTTAACTGCCTTGTTTAGGAAAGTGCTTGTTAATCACAATTTGAAAGAGAAAACGTGTAAGAAACAAATGAACTTGGGGTGAGTTTTCAAAAGATTTGAAGCCCCATTTTCGAAGGTTATTTAGGATGAGTACAATTTTCATTGGTACTTAGGCTCCTAACTTAAGTCCCCCTGAAAGTGAATGGATTTTAGGTTCTTAAGTGCCTAAGGGTCAGAATGATAAAGGCATTTAAGAGTCTAAAGATGTTAGGTACTAGGTACTTTTGAAAATCCCATTGGGTGCCTACATTCATATTTAGATGCCTAAATAGGTTTTAAAATTGAGCCTGAATTAATTTTGTGAATGGTTTAAGGCCAAGGCCCATAAAATTGCTCTTGTAAAAGGAGAGACAGTTGGGATAAGAAGAAATGTGAAGCCATTCCATTTTTGGAGTTCTGGTGTCAAGCCACTCGAGGTCTGCTCTTAAAACTTATGGTCAAGCTACTTAAAATCAAATTTTGGTCTACTTGAAAGTCTTTTGATCTGAATGGATTTTTTTTATAATTTTTTTTTTTCATTTTTCACTGCACCATTTCTTTTTCAAGGTAATTTTTTAAAAAGTGCTAGATTGCCCAGCTGCTCCGCAACAACAGTTAAATTGTATACACTGTTACAACAGCTGTAATGATTGCAACAGCCCCCATCCTGGTGCAGAGGCTGAATCTGAATCCTTGTGTTCTTAAAATGTCCATTAACTCCAGTGGGAGTTCTTGCATGTAAGGGTTGCAGAAGTAGGGGGCAAACAAAATTGGAGATTAATTTCTTACATTTCAATTCCTTACATAGGAAAAAGTTCCAATATTTATAACATGGTTAAAGAAAAAGTCAAATATATGTATTGCTCAGATTATATATTGTATATTATACCTCTTTGAAGTCTTATATAACTTTTTTGTATGTTTGTGTTTAACTAGGGTAACAGAATGTATATAGGGTTCTCAGATCTTGACTGAGTTTTTCTGATCTGTATTAGAAGAGTTGGCTGTAGGCAAGGTATTCATATTTCTTCTTACGCCAGACCTGGTCAGTGTTTGTTAGAAATATAGTTAGGTTCCTGTTCACCCTCATCAGGTTCATGTGGGTGTCAATTGAAGGCAGAAGTTTGGCCCTTTTAACTTTTTATAACTTCATCTTTGTGTGTAACTACTATTCACCTCTTACTTGGTAGATAGTCACTTATCAGAAATAATTTAGAAAGTCAGAATAATTGTGTTTTAAAATACATGGACAATAAACAAAGCTTTGACTGAAAATGAATGGTTCACGCACTTTATCCTGAATATGTATACCTAAGAAATGAAAGGTGAGACTTTTTAAAAAACCTACCCTAATTCTAATATTGACAATCTCATAAACATAATGCAGAAATTAATTAGTCCATTCTGTAGAAAAAATTTTCTATAGTGGTGTTCTCTAAATCACGTGGTGTTGTCAAGCCATTAAACTATTCAAGTAAAATGGATAACTTCTTATAGTAGGGTGTGTTAAATTTGGATTAATTACTGTATGAATAATATTAAATCTGAAAAATGTCACTAATGTAAAAAACTAAAAAATCCCTGTGGATTTTTTTTTTAAATAATCCATCTGAATGAGACATTATGGGTCTATGAAGTACATTTAGCATTTGTACATCTAACAAACCTGTAAATAAGGTCTGTACTCTTGAAAAAATAAAAAGGGTAAAGTAGAGAAATGGGCTCAGCATTAGTTGTAGTTAAATTAATTTTAATTCAAATCTCTACTCCTTTTTACCCCCCCCCCCACAAGTCACTTCCTTAAAAGGAATCCTATGCCACACCATCAATCTAACTCCATGCTGTGACTTTCCTCACAGTTTATGACCAAGACTATTTAACCTTGTAGAGCCAGATGTCAGATTTGTTACCCATTGGTGTCGCAATGTGACCATGCAGCAGAATCTGAGGCTTGGTGCTGGACTCACAATTTAGTAATTGTATCCAGTTCTGGAGCTTCTCTATTTTAATTGTGAAATGCATACTAAGATTAGGGTGACCACCTGTCTCCAACTCGGTGGAATGGTTCCAAAATATACATTTTCAAGTTCCAGTCCCAGGTTGAATGGCTCTGGATTTGTCCAGCATTTGTCCTGGATTCTCTGTGGTGATGCTCCACACCTGCATGAAGCTCAGGAACAGTGCCAGCCTCTTTGTGTGTGTGGGAGTGGGAGTGGGAGTGGAAGTGGGACAGGGCTGAGGTGGGCCTTGGTTCCCCTGGCCAGGCCAGGAGTCTGAACCTGAACCTGGCAGTGGTAAGAGAGTCTGGGCTGCTGCAGGGAGCCCCGGACTCTCAAATTGCAGTATGCAGTGCTCCTTGGGGAGTGAGGACATGGGCCAGGGGCAGGTCTTGAGCACCGCAGCCTACTGCCAAAAGTATTAGAAGGGTCCAGAGCACTGCACAGTGGCACAAACTGCCTGGGCAACTTGTAGCATTGCCTGGCTCTGGCTTCCAGGCTGGCCAGGAGATAGGGACTCACAAAGAAAATGGCAGGGAGTGGGGGTATTGTAACTGCATGTGTGTTGTTCTGCATTTTGAAAAGGTGATCACCCTAGCTAAGATGCAGCTCTGTAGTTTAGCCTAAAACCTGGGTTCCTTTTTTAGATAATAGCATATAACTAATGAATTAATTAAAATCTCTATTTTTTTGGGTAGCTAAACCATAACTGCTTTTGAGAGAGAACACCTTCTGGGACACTTATCTCCATTACAACTATAGTGCATAAACAAATCAATTGGCTACGTTTTTGGGAGGTTAGTTTATACCTTTAGAACTTGAGATACTAATGAAAACCTACATGCCTCAAATGTTTAACCTATTTCAAATTCAGAGATTATCTTCAACCTAGAATAATTTGGCCTCCAGTATTCAATGAGTAATCCACCCCTTAAAATGACATTTTATACAATTTCTTACAACTGGAAATAAAAACATAAATTTATAATATTTAGAATTAATAAAAGCAGAACAATATATCATTGAAATGGTTGAAAAGACCTGGTTTCTGAACTGCATTATTCTCTGCATCATTCACAATAGAAAGCAGGGGGGGAAAACCCACCTAGGGCTATTTATGTGACGTGGTGTAAATAGAACACATAATGACAAATAAAGGAGTTTTGCTATTTTACATAGTCTTCTAAGTGACGTAACAATATACACACTATTAAATTTCACTTGTGAGTTGCATTGTTAATTACAGACTCATTAGTGTGTTCTCTTTATCCATTACTTTTGGATATATTTGCAGTGTGATGCACATTCTACAACAGTGGTTCTTAAACCGTTTGTGGTCCAGGGAGAATTTGCTGGTGGCTTGTGGAGAACTGGTTACATTCTTCTTGTTTCTAGACATTAAATCACATTCAAAGACTCCCAAAATTAATACTTTTCTAATGTTGATTTTCCATGTAACTGATTGCTGTAGTTGTAACATGGATATTACGTAGGTGTCAACCTACATTACAGAGAGATCCATATTTAGTATTGCATCTTATACATAAACTTACAGGTTTATAAAAGCAGAATTTAGAGATTGCATATATGGATTTTTATGCTCCAGCAAGAATTATCAGCAACATAGCTTATAAAGTTTACAGGTTTGATTCACTCACTGAGTAAGTTGTAAGTTTGAATCAATCATTTTCACTAAGAGATGGTTATCTAATATACGAAGAAGCATATGTTTATAAAAATGGTAAGTGCTGGAGTAACCCTATTAATCATGTACACTATAACTTGAGGATAGTTAAGTATTTATTTTATAGTGGTAAGTTAGATTCTGGCTCTCTTGCCCCTTTACGCTAACAGAGAGAATCAAACACAGCAGG